TGTGTCAGAATAGCCTTGGAGTCAGGACTTCGGTAAGAAGATTAACCTAGTGTTTAATTTGATGTTTCATTCTGTGAAGTCACCTACAGAGAAATCAAACATTTACATGTTTATTAACCAGTGCTTTTGGTTCTTGGCACATGGCCCGCACTGCTTTGGGCTGGATGAGCTCTGGGAATGCATAAAAAATCTCCCTTTGCTCCTCTCCCCACACCCCATCATATGGATCCATAGACAGGAAAACATTTACCAGCTCCAATTATCCTTTTGTTTCAAAGCCTGAAACTTTTTCAGCCACGTCGTGTTCCTGCCGGAGTCTGAAAATTAATAGGCTTTAAAGAGGCCGAGGGTTGAGTGGAGTGACTTTGAGAACGGCATGCATCTGGATTCCTGATTTTACAGGTGTTGCTCTGAGACTGAAGAAATCATCTTCTCAGGGAGTTTGCCCCCTCCTGTTTTCTAATTTTTGTGATTGAGTTAGAGTTATAGGAATATCATGAGTTGCTAATTTTTAAAAAAATAATTTTCTTCCCTTTATAAAAGTAATTCACACTAATTGTAAAAACTTGGAAAAATATCAAAAGGCATAATGCTGAAAATTACCCATAATTCTAGTACTCAGAGATAATCACTACAAACCATTTGTTGTATTTGCATGCATTTTTGTACGCATAATTAAGAGCATTGTGTATAAATTTCTATTTCTACTTTTCCTATTTCACATAAGAATATTTTTCTCTTGCATTGAGAGCAGAGCAGCATAGGAACTTATGCTAGCTTCCTGGGGCTGCTGTAACAAATTTCCATAAATGGAGAGGCTTACAACAACAGAAACTGATTCTCTTTCGGTTCTGGAGGCCAGAAGTTCTGGGCAAGGTATAGGCAAGGCTGTGCTCCCTCTGGAGGCTCTAGGGAGAAGCCACTCCTTGTCCTACCCTTGGCATTCCTTGGCATGTGGCCTCATCTCTCCCATATCTGCCTCATGTGCTTTGTGTGTGTGTGTGTGTGTGTGTGATCTCTGCCTCTCTTATGAGGATACTGGTGGTGGCCTATAGGGTCCACTTGGATAATTGAGGGTGTCTCCTCATTGTAAGATTCGTATCTTATTTTTTAAGTTTTGTTTTAAGGTTTATTATTTGGGAGAATGCATGTGGCGGGGGGAGGGCAGAGAGAGTCTTAAGCAGACTCCACGATGAGTGTGGAGCCCCACGCAGGCTGGATTTCACCATCCTGAGATCACGACCTGAGCTGAAACCAAGAATCAGATGCTTAACTCACTGTGCCACCCGGGGGCCTCTGAGATTCTTCTCTTAATCACATCTGCAGAGACCCTTTTTCTGTATAAGGTGACATGTACAGGTTCCAGGTTTAGGTCATGATATCTTTGGGGCCAGTTTTTAGCCTGCCACAGGGCTTAAGAGCATGGACTTTGGAGCCAGACTGGGTGGGCTTAAACCCCAGCGCTATCTCCTGCTGGCAGGATGACTTTGGGCAAGTGTCTTAATTCTTGCTGCCTCCATTTTCTGATCTGTAAAGTGGGAATAATAAGCTTAAGTTATGCCTGGCCCATGTAAGGATTAGCTGTTATCATTGTGATTGTTATTTTCATTAAAAAATTCTTTGTAAAGTGTCATTTAAATTTAAAATATATTTTTAAATTTTTTTAAAAGATTTTTATTTATTAGAGAGAGAGAGAGAGAGAGAGAGAGAATGAGTGGGATGAGAGGGAGAAGCAGACTCCCCACTTATTAGGGAGCTAGATGCAGGGCTCGACCCCCAGGACCCGGGGATCATGACCTGAGCCGAAGGCAGATGCTTAACTGACTGAGCCATCCAGGCACTCCCATGTAAAATGTCATTTTAATAGCTGCATAAACCGTATTTGTGAACACAAATAATTTATCACATCATTTCTGTTGTTGGCTAGTAAGTTTATTTCCAGTTTTTTATCTCATGTCTAACGCTGTCATGGGTACCTTTGAGCATTGAGGTTTGTCCTCATTTCTGCTTCATTCTCTAACGTAGTGTTCTGAAAATGAAATTACGACTTAAGCTATTTAATAAGAATTTGCCAAATTGCTTTCCAGAAAGATTATGCCTGTTACATAACTCCCAGTAGTAGCTGAATGAACAGAGTGCCTCTTTTACTGTGGCCATACCTGAATCGAGTGTTATCATTTTAGACATTCTCAGCCATTTTTTACATCATCTGCCCTTTAAAGCTGATGTGTAACATAGCAGAGGGTTTTAACATAATGGTTCCTTTAGCAAGAACTATTCTTGCAAAGCAAGAAAACTTCTAGTGAAATTCGGTCCCTGCCATGTCAAGTCTTCCAGTGCTTTCTCCATTTTGTTAGGAAACCTGAGTGTTTTTGAGGCTACAGGGAAGGGTGTTGGGGAGAGGACATGTTAGTGGCAGGACAGTGCTAGATATACAAGGATTTTAGTAAAACGTTTTTTTTTTTATTTTTTTTTTAATTTATTTATGATAGTCACAGAGAGAGAAAGAGAGAGAGAGAGGCAGAGACATAGGCAGAGGGAGAAGCAGGCTCCATGCACCGGGAGCCCGATGTGGGATTCGATCCCGGGTCTCCAGGATCGCGCCCTGGGCCAAAGGCAGGCGCCAAACCGCTGCGCCACCCAGGGATCTCTTTTTAATTTTTTTTAAATTTATTTATAAAACGGTTTTATTTGTGTTCTCAAACTTGGACATTGAAAGCTCTGAAAACACTGGAACAGAAAACAGATCAATTTAATTACTTTACAACTAAAGCTGCTTGAAGGACAGGACAGTGGGGTAAGGAAGGGGCAGCTTGTCTGCTACCTGCTAAAGAAGGTGGGAGACCAGCTTGGGAAGGCCTGAGGGAAAGTCTGTACCTGTGTTTTGTACCCCTACCACCTGTTAACCTCCTTTCCTTTCCCAGGGGGTGCCCACTGCAATATGACTGCCCCAGGGCAGCAGAGGAAGAGCAGGGATCCTAGCTGAGTGAAAGACAGGGTGGTGGTCTTTCTCCCCCAGTGGTGCTCTGATATGAGTGTGCAGTGCATACCAGGTACAGCTGGTCACACACACATTGGGCAATATCCAGATCAGTTATTGTGGGCTAAATGGTAGCCCCAGAGATGTGCCCAAATAATGTTACCTTATTTAGAGAAAAGGTCTTTGTAGATGTGATTAAGATAAGGATTTTTGAGATGAAATAACCTTGGATTATCCAGGTAGGCCCTCAATGCCATCACAAGGCCCTTATAAGAGAGGGGAAGAAGGAGATGTCACACAGAGAAGGCAGTGAAGTGGAGGAGAGGTGTGGCCACAAGCCAAGGAATGCCGATAGCCACCAGAATCTGGAAAAGGTGTGAACCAGCAGTGAAGAGTTGGTGGATGACCACCACCTCTTTGAGTATCAGTGGTCTAGTCTCCCTCCCTCTTTTTATGGTCGAGGAGATAGAGGCCCAGAGAGGAGGTGGTAGGATGGAGATTAGAGCACAGGTGCCTCTGCTGCTTGTAATACAGAGACAGGATGTGGTGCCAGCCTCCCGGGACCCGGGCCTGGGGTGAGCAGCCTGGAGTGCAGCCCTTCAGCCTGTTCTGCTGGTCAGCTGGTATCCCTGGTGCTTTTCTGTGACCTGCTGAGTGAAAGTGGATGCTCCAGGGAACCCCTGGGGCACTGGGCTGCTTAGAAGGCCTAGAAGCAGGGGAACCTTGTAAAGTCTTTGCTGCTGATGGCCAACAGCAGCAGGCAAGGGATCCTGTCAGAGGTAAAGGTCACGGCTTGCTGTTGACTTCCTTGCTTCAGTCTCTGTGGTTTGGGTCGTATTTTCCCTCTGCAGCCCAATTTTAATTTTCTACATTTCTGAGTGGTAATTATCTCTTGGAGAATATGTGATTAGACGACTGTCATCTGGACTCTCATGCTGCTGGAATAAAGTTCGTTCAACTTAACTCAGCATTCAAGGCTCCTGAAGAACCTTTCCCCCCTTTCCATCTCTGCCTTTCACCCCTCCCTTTCACTCACCAAGATCATCGCTCCTTGGTAGAGGGGTCTAGAAGAGGTTAGATTTGTGAAGCCCTGCAGTGGGTGAGTTCATAGTTGACCAACTCAAGAACCAATGGAAAAATATGGCAAGGGGATAGTAGGCATACATCTTTGAAGCTCTCAGGGGGGAAAAAAACTTACATTTACTAAAACAGACCATAAAAACAGCACAGACAGCCTGTATCAGTTGCTAGTGTGTGAGCTAAGTCTTCTGGTCTACCACCCAGCCCAGTTGAGCTGACTGTAGCTCCATATGTGAACCAGGCAAGACCAGACAAAAAATACCTGGCCGAGCCCAGCACTAATTGTTGACCTACCAAACCTTGAATAAATAAAACCAAACCCACCAGGCCATGAATAAATAAAATGTTTGTTGTTTTAGACCAAAAAACAAAAAAAACAAAAAAACAAACTCCACAGTAAGTCAATCTTCAAATTATTATATTTCTTATTTTATTAGAGATGGATGTTATATAGTTAATTATTCCTTGTTTGCCATAGGTGCTTTTCAGAATTCTTTGAAGAATTGCTTTAATTTGTTATGGATAATACCGATATTAAGAGCCCCCTTTCACCAATATCTAGGCCTCTATCTTAATGTTTAATACTGCTGGGATTTTAGGAATTCTCTGTTGAGTCTACTCTCTGGGTCTCACACATCCCTCTCATCCTTCCTTCTCAGCTGTTATGGGACAGGGTTGAGAGGTCCAGGATACTTTCTTCCATCTTCTTTTATTTTTCTCAAGGCTTTGTCCCAGATGCCTCTATTTCTTCACCCTCTCCTTCTGTTCTTTTTCTGGTCCCAACCCCGGACCTCTTATTCTTAAGTCATTGGTTTTGGGTTGCAAGGAACAGCGATGCTCTCCAGCCAGCTTACCGTGGCAGAGGGTTTGTTATAGGAATCTCAGGAATGCAGGGAGCAAAGCTCCACCAGCCTGCTGGAAACTGCATTGGGAAGGCTCCTTAATTCAGGGGCAGCACAGCGCACATTCCTGCTCATCTCCTGTATGCATGTGTGTGTCTTTCTCGGGGTGAGATCTCACTGCTGCTTGCCTAAGTTGGCACATCTTCATCCTCAAATGAGGCAAGGTGAGAGGGAGGCAGTGTAGCTGGCAGGGGCAAGTGTCCATGTCATCAGTTTGGGGAGGGGTGCCATGGGACTGCCCTCTCCTCATGGACTGGGGGGGACGATCCCACAAAAGGGGTCTGTGGACGGGTTGCTCCCCCAAACCTCTTATGCCTCTTTTTCTGATTTCTCAACAGGAACAACTCGAGTCACCTTTACTGGAAATCATTTTGCTGGAAGTCCTGAAACTGCAGTTCTTGAAGTTAAAAGGTAAGCAGGAAGTAAATTTGTACCTACTGAAATTCTCTTCTAAAGGAAGCCAGTGTTTGGGGAGAGATGACTGTTGCCGGCATTCCTCAAACATGCCCAGTCCTGTATGTACTCTTTTCTTTTCTCTGCCTGGCCAGGTTTTTGTTGATCCCTGAAGGTCTTAACCAATGCTACTTCCCTGGCAATCAAGCCTTTTATTTGTTTGTTTGTATGTTTTTAAGATTTGGCTTATTTATTTTAGAGAGAGCCCATATAGGGTGGGGGGGAGAGCAAGACTAAAGCTGATTCCCTGCTGAGTGTAGAGCCAGACCCAGGGCTCAGCTTGATCTCATGACCCTGAGACTGTTGCTGGGTTGCGGGGTTCTTGTCTCCCGGAGTTGAAAGATGAATCTCGTGGGCAAAAGGGTGAAGTGAAATGAAAGTTTATTAAATGAAGGTAGGAACAGAAAGGAAAGCGAAGGTGTGCCCTAGAAGGGAGAGTGGCCCTGATAGGTCACCGTCGAGGGCTTTTATGGTGGGTCTTTTATAGAAAACTGACCAGGGAACTTAGTAAATATCTTGTCTATAACATTTAAGATGAACAACATGGATTTGTAAATGTTATGAAAATATCTCGTCTATATTTAGAATCAACAGGTGGATTTGTTATGTCCCCTTCCCTCTGGTTAATATCTTGTCCACAGCATTTCTCCACATCTGGGATTTCTCCGAGCCTGAGCGCATAGTGCCCTACCTCTCTCTCCCTAACTGGCCTCAATTGTCCCTTCCTCAAGACCACGACCTGGGTCGGAATCAAGAGGCAGACGCTTACCCGATGGAGCCACCCAGGCACCCTGAAGTCCATCCTTTTTATTCCCTCCTGGTCAATAGTGACTTCTCCAGGCTTGGAACCCCCGGAGTACCATCCCCTTCTCAGTGACGTGCGTCCTAATGAGCCCGGCTCGGTCATTGTGGGCCCCTCCCCGGGCTGCCCTTCTTCCACGGCCCCTTCCTGTGAACCTCCCTCCACCCGACCCTGGACCCTGGTGTTTCCACACTTGATTGTAGTCGCCTCTTTGCAAGTCTTCCCGTAAAAAGCCCCCTGAGGGCATATCTGAATTGTGCCTGGGACGAGCCCCGCCTCCCCACTAGCCAGCCAGCTCCACCCTGTCATTCTCCAGTCCATTCTGTTCTTTGAGCGTTCATCACAAATTGCTAATCTCTTGAAGCTAAGCTTTTGCGTCTGACATTTATCTTTTATGGGCAACATGGGCCCGGGGTTAGAGCAATAACCCAGAGACTGAGAGGGAAGGGAGGTGACAGGCAAGTCAGAACAGTGACCTTGCAGTGACCTTGGGGGCCCGGCTCCCCAGGTGGCCTTCGCCTGCCCCTGGCTGGTGTTGAATGGGGGTTGCGTGAGGTGGCCTTTTGGTCGTGCTGTGGTTGGGGCCCCTCCTGTTTGCTGGATGGCAGACCCCGTCCTCCGTCCACCTGTAAGATCTGAGCACCATCTTGGTCCTTCCCCGTGGAAGCCACTGCTGCCATCACAAAACCGGGGGCCCTGTCGCTTACCTGTCCTCCCCACCCCCGCGTTCCCTCCAGAGAGAGGGCCCTTGACCTCCTGCTAGGAGATGCAGCCTGACCCTGGTGTTTCTCCCCACCCAGCCAGGCCACTTCCTTGAAGAAGTAGTTCTCTTTCTTCTAGGACCTTCCAGTCAGTCTTAGAAGTTTTATTTTTGTTGGGGCTTATTTAAATGCGGGAAATTTAATTAGCTTACATCAATACCACGCTGTCCTACTCTATGAGTAAACTCAAAGACACTAACAGGGGCTTAATCTAGCCACTTCTTTTTTTTTTTAATCTAGCACTTCTAATGCTGGTTTTTCTCTCCCTTCTCCTTTAAATAATTGCAAATGCTTCTATTAATCAAGGCGGCAGAGCACAGTGGTTTATTGCCATGTGGAATTGTGTAGTTAAATGCGATTTTTAAAAAAAACGGCTCAAATTTTAATTAGAAAGCAGATTGTTAAATGACATTTTGATTTGTCCTTCAATGGGGAATTGGGAAATAGACCCATCATGGTAGGAAACCAGGTTCTAGTCCAGAAGGAGGCATATTAACTTAGGAGCAGGATGTGATTTCAGTGAGTCATTGTTTTCCTGAAATAGGCTGTCTTCTCTGGTTTTCTGTTCAGAGGGAGACTTTCCTCTGCAGCTGATAGCACCTTAGGTTAGCATTTCCCCAGGAGAGAGTCCAGCTTGGAGTCAGTCCCCCACGCAGGACACAGGATCAGGTACCAAGGCCCTTTTGCTGGGACTCCTGGAAACATCAGTATCGAGAAATCAGCAAACCTATTACAGTGCCTGTAATGAAACAAAATATTGGGCTACGTACTTTAATTCCCATTGTGGTGTGATGAGAATAGCATTTTCCTGTTAAAGTGACTGCTTTCTTGTCTCAAAAGCTGGTCTGTGCATGCCTCCTGAAGGGCATCATAGAAGCAGCCTGCATGTGGCCCAGGTTGCCCCATACGCTCCTTATGTGATATCCCCCACCTTGAGCTTGGCACGGTGGCAGGATATCTAGGCACCCCAGGAGGAAGGTGGGGGGGGTCACCAGTGAGAAGACCCCTGGCCTTTGTCATTCCACATGACTCCTCTGTGCCTTGTAGGACATTTTATACTGTTACAGCAGCTCACAAACTTGAATGTCTTGAGGGTACTTCAGACTCACTGGGTGCAACGTTTGTCTCTTGGTGTCTTTCTACCACAGCCCCTTCGCACACCTCCCCTCCTCTGTCTCGTTAGGGCACACAGCCAGAAACTGGGGAGTCGTCTGTTAACACTAACCTTTCTCTTCCTCCAGATCCCCAAGTCCTTGCAATACTTCTAATATAGACCTTGAATTCATCTGCAGCCTTCCCATGTCCAGTCCCCAAGACCAATGACACCAGTTAGTTGCCTAGGTCCCTGCAAAGGCTTTTGAGCTACTTGTCCCGCTTCCACTTTCCCTCCATTCTGCTCATCACTTTGGACTCAGGGTGATGTTTAAAACGCTTGTCACACCATTTCACTCCTTGCTCACACCTGTCAGCAACCTCCTCCTGCATGTGGATGAATCCCATATGCCCAGCATGGCCCACAGAGAGGACTGCACGGTCTGGGGCCCCAGACCTGGCAAGAGGCCTCGCAGCACTGGTGACATCATGTTCAAGCGGCTTGTGAGACTTCTTAACCTTTCACTCTTGGCTTCCTCGGCAGAGTGTCATGAATTTGATTTTCCAAGGGCAATAAAATAACTGTCAGCCTGGCAAAGGAGTTCTTAGAATGGATGTCGTGTTCTGGAAAATGGTGTAGGGAGTGATTTGTTCCTCCAAACCCAAGAATATCAACTCTTAGAACACAGAGGTGGACTACTATTTCATCTGGAACTTTTTTTTTAAAGATTTTTTATTGATTCATGAGCAACACACAGAGAGAGGCAGAGACATAGGCAGAGGGAGAAGCAGGCTCCATGCAGGGAGCCTGATGCAGGACTCAATCCCAGGACCCTGGGATCACAGGACCTGAGCCAAGGCAGACAGGTGCTCAAGCACTGAGCCACCAGGGGCCCCTTCATCTGGAACTTTAATAAGCAAATAACTAATATGTAATCTGCTAAAATGTTAATAGCTTTGCTACTCACCAAGTAGCCTCCCTTCCAGATAGTTCAGTGTCAGACGTGCAAACCCTTTAGCTCCAGAAATGACTGGAAGTTGGTTCCAGGTCAGTAGAAGATATTGAAGACTGACATTCTACACAGAAAGAAAAGAAGCACACTACATATTAGCGCTCAGCTTTCCTTTTTAAAAAGTTTCTCCTATCCTGAAGCCCACTCATGTTTCTTACCTTAACCTTGAGCTTAACTTTTGTGTGGTTTGTGGCCCTGTGCACGCACAAACACTTGAATCAGTGAAACCTGTCTCTGCTGAGTGACACTGTCTGTTCTCCTCGGACCTTCCATTCAAGGTAATTGATGGGAAAACTGAAATTCCAGCTGTCATTTGGCATACTATGACCTCAAATCAAGACAATTTTGCTCTGATCTTGAACTTGAGACTTTTTGTGATAAAGTGGTTCACTTTGATGAGTTACAAACACAGATTATAATGAGAAGACCAGGCAAAGCGATCCTAATACAGATGCCATGGGAGCACAGAGATGAGCCCCTTCTTTACCCACCTCAGGGCCTGGAAAGTCATGAAATGATTGCAAGAGTATGTGACCCATGGGATGTGTCTTTTTTTTTTTTTTTTTAGATTTTATTTATGTATTTGAGAGAGAGAGAGAGTGCGCACAAGCAGGGGGTGGGACAGAGGGTGAAGCAGGCTCCCCGCTGAGCAGGGAGCTCACCGTGGGGCTTGATCCAGGACCCTGGGATCATAATCTGAACCAAAGGCAGATGCTCATGGGACTGAGCCTCCCAGGCACCCCCAAGAGATGGGCCTTGAAGGAGGAGTTTGCCATAGGGAGGAGTGGCTGGGAGAAAGGAGGTGGGAAAGGGTATTTGAGACCACTGCCTGGATGGGGGCCTGGGAGGTCAGCAGGGGCATGACCCACCCCGAGAACTGTCCAAGGGTGGTCGTGGCTGCTGCAAGTGAAGGCGTGGGCTGGGGACTGACCACAGGCCAGGGCCCCCTTCGTGCAGGGGAACACTGCCATGACATTCTATGCTGGGGATTTGTCTGATCTGATCCAGGGATTCTGTAGGCATGGTCTCTACTTTCAAGGCTGCCTCTCGATGGCACTGACCCAATTCAGATATGCAAGGCCTTTTTACCAGGTTTTGTATGGGACTCAAGATACCCTAGACTTCCAAGTTTCAGGTATGTCTATAGGCTCTCTACCAGAAATCACAAAGACATTTTTAGAAGCTACTGAGATGTGATTGGTGTTAAATTACTGCCGTGCTGGGGTTTATGAATGACTCCACTTCCTGTTCCTTTGGGGTCTGGCTGCCCGACTGTGCTTAGAAGTGGTA